AAAACGACCTCGAGAGAGGTAATTGATGGGCTGAAGTTTGCACGGATGGACCAACTGAATTCTCAGCTGGTAACGAGTAATGATCTGGACCTCGCAAACGTCGCCGCCGCAGTTCAATACCAACATTGTGGATGACGCTAGCGAAAGACAGAAACGGATGGAAACAATGCCGTGGCCTGCACGACGAGTGAAGACAGGCCTTCTAAGTGTCTAAGTAAGTAAGCAAGTAATATAACAAAAATATGTCACAAAAGCTTGGCTCACTTAGATAAATTTAGAGAAAAACCAAGGGGGCCAAAAAATGAATAATATAACCGAGTTCTTCTTCAAACCTTAACTTCTTGTCTTGGCCTCTAGCATGAATTCCATAAATTATACAAGCACTGCTTCAAACGAGAGCTGTCAGCATTAAGATCTCTCGTAGAGAAGGAATACAACTTTGTCTCTTGGGCAAAACAATCCTAGTCATATTTCTACCAAAATGGATAATTTTCATAAAATTGTGCTAACTATTGGCTGATCCTAGAGATTACGTAAATATTCATTCAGTGGAGTTAGTGGTGGGCAAATGTCCTATGACACAGGTCATGTTCAGCTTGAGCACAAGCTTACCACGGGTTAAAACCATTTCTGGCACGACCTTTACTAGAATCTTCCTACAAGATCTGAAGTGAAATAGTAGCATTGCCCATAAGAAGCTGAGCAGGTGAGATTTTCAAGGTTGCATTATCTGTTTACTTGAACAATTTGCTTTTGCTAATAGGAACCTCAAGCAGATGAGCAAGCAAGGATGATGTACGCCTTACCTATACTTCACTCTAAATTTATCCAGAATACACCTGGAGAACCGCTGTTGAATTATTCCGTAGATTGAGTATTCTAATCAATAACTATTGAGACAACGCCAGAACAACCGAGACAACATCTATGCCACTCCATTTGCTGCTGGAATTTCCTTGGGCGGAAGCTAACTGCTCAAAATAACAAACATTTGGAGGATTTGTCTTAATGTCACAAGAGTTCATCATAGAGACATGTAACACTTCGTTTCAGATCTCTAGCCCTTCTTAAGCTATTGTGAGGCAATACTTTTGATTTATGGTGAGCTGGCGTTTAAAACAGATTTGGCTTAGATTATTTATTTTAATTTGCACGGGCGAGCACAACTCTTTATCTATGAGCGCTGTCAATTTTAGCAACAGTCAGACACCTGCACACAACTTTGTGAAAAGGACCATTTTTTACGGAACAAGATGTTTCTTAAAAATAAGCCACCTGTTTCATTCTAAATAAGTCTACTATTTCTGCATCTAGACCTTCTTGGTTTGCCCCCAAGAGCTACAACAGATTTTCAGTAAAGACGGATCTCTTAGCTTTCGCCATTATAGTAGGATTAGGTATAGAAGTTGTAGATGGTTTCAGCGCTGTCGCGAAGCACTGTATTGGCACGGAAACAGCTTTTTTCCCTCGCCCACCTCAAATATGACAGTCATTTGATTCGGTAAGATTTTCGATTCTGAAAGTGCCTAACAGCGCCTAAGGCCACCAGTAACTTGTTTCTATTATAGACGTCAAATATGTAAAACACTTCTATAAGTGGTATTCTGCAAACTAGCCCTTCAGAGTAAATCATTTGAGTCCAGGAAAGGAATGGAAATAAAAGAGTTATCAACCAAATAGTGAGCACATTTTCTTGAAACACCCTTCCTTACAACTTCGGAACATTGTTGCGAACAGATAGAAGTCCTCTTTTAAAATTTACAAATCTCAGCTCAATGTTTATGTACTCCATAAAAAGAGGAGGCTGAGGGAAGAAGTGAAGGTTGAAAACTAAAAATAGTGATAATTGGACAGTTTCTATTATGCACTTTCCCAAAATGGTTTAGCTGAATACGCCCAAAAACAGTTTTG